CTGCCCTCTCTTATATAACTTGTTAGCATCAATTTGATGCTAATAATTAACTTAAAAAGTTTTATTAAGCAATCTGGGCTAAAGATGGATCATCTGAAGACGCTTCTRTGCTAAAATGTCTAAGTCTGGAAGAAGACCAGCCGCTGTGATAAATCGACCAAGTATGGACGACCAGAGCCTCTGTAAGAAGAACCAGAGCCTCTGTGATTCGTCACACAGAGGATCTGTGATACGTCACAGAGCCTCTGTGAAGACACAAGTACCAGAGCCTCTGTGAGAGACACAAGAGCCTCTGGAGGACCAGAGCCTCTGGTTGTATTGACAAGAGCCTCTGGAGTGACAGAGCCTCTCTGGTCTGTCTATCCTCTGGTCAATCCTCTGGTCCTTCAAGACGACTATCTTCAGAATCTTAATCTGGATAAGGCTAATCCTATTTTGGATAAGGCTAATCCTATTCAGATTATCATGGCGTTATGCCTATATATAGCAGTGTTTCAGGCAGAGAAAAAGAGACGAGAGCATTTTAGAGAATTCTTTGTAAAACATAGATTTAGATTCATCATATGAGAGTCGATTAGGGTTCTTGAGAGTCTGTAATTTCCATTCAATAAAGAAAGCGGCGTTGTTTTCTATTTCATCTTCTTCTTCTACAAATCTCTCTTGATTTCCTTTATTAAATTGTTCTACTGTCAGATCTGGGTAATAACATAACTTCTCCTCATTAGCTTTCAATTTTTCATTTAAATCAATAATTTGTAATTCAAGCTTGCTAATTTTAACAATTAAGTCTTCATTCACTAACTCTAATGACTTATATATGTCCTTTGAGTCAGATAATTCGGATTTTAAGATGTCGGATTTTTCATGAAATGTTTTTTATTCAAATAATAAAACTTTTGCCAATCCAAATTTCCAGCATTCTCATCAAAGAGTTTTTAAGTGTTTTTCTTTTTGCGTTTCTAATTCTTTTTGAAAATTATTTGAATGTAATTTTTCAGTTTTTAATTGTTGCTGAAAAGATTGGAGTTTAAGCATCATCTTTTGCATCTGATTAATGCATGAGTTTTCCAATACCTCTTCATCCATCTCAGCATTCTCCTCATCTCCTTCATCTGAAGAATCATTTTCAGTCTTAGCCATCAAACAGATGTGAGCCATAGCTTCTGACTCTTCTTTCTCATCGGTCAAATTTAACCAATGGTCATCCTCAGCCATCAATGCTTTACCTGCATCTCGTTGTTTAGATAGAAGAAATTTCTTCTTATAATAGTCGGTATTTCTTGTTACCAGGTTTCTGCAATTCACCGCAAAATGACCCAACTTGCCACAGTTGTAGCATTTGGTATTTTCATCCTTAACTCCTTTGACAAACTTTTTCTTCTCTTCAGGTTTCTTTTCATATTTCTTTTCATATCTCTTCTCATCATACTTCTTCTTTTCACCGAATTTATCTTTAAATTCGTATTTTGAACCTGAAGAGAATCTCTGATTATTTGAGTGCGGTTTCTTCTGGAACTTTTTCTGAAATGCTTTGGTAAGCATTGTCATGGCATGTTTGAGTTCATTCATCTCTGAGTCTGAGTCTGAGCTGTCACTCCCTTCACTTGACGATTCACTTGACTGGTTGATCTCTTTCACTTGCTTCCCAGATCTGCTTTTACTCTTCTTCTCAGATACAAAGGCTAAAGGATTGTAAACTTCCTTTTCCTTTTTCTTCTTTGAATCTCGGACCTCTAAAACTTCTTCCTCGTTCTATTTCAGAGTTTCATAAACCTCGTGTATATCGATATCAGATAAGGATTTATTGAATCTGATATGATTGGCATAAGGTTTCCACTCTGGTTGTAAGTTGTTGAGGAATTTAACATTGATTTCAATGACAGTTTTAGAGATGTCATTCTTGGTAAGCTCATTTAACAGTCTGGTAAGCCTATCATATACATCATCAAGGCTCTCTCCTTCTTTAGCCTTAAACTTTTCATATGCAGAAATACAGTTTGTGATTTTTAACTGAGTTCCCACCTTGGAACCCATCATCATTTTCTCTATTTGCACCCACATGTTGTGACCAGAAGATTTGTGACTGTCAATGCTTGTATAAATGTCATTGGTCAGTGCTTCCATCATATATGACTTGCATAACACATCAACATGTGCTCTCTCCTTTTCTTCAGCAGTGTATCTAGATTTCTCTTTGATTATTCTTTGAGCAGGTCTACCTTGTTCAGGAATGGCAGGTGTCTCTCTATAGATTACTATTGGTCCTTCCATCAAAAATTCCATGATCAGTTTAATCTTCTTTCATTCTTTCAATAAAATTCAGGAATCTATCTCTCCACTAATTGTAATATCCTCTGAATAAGATTGGTGGTTTGGTATCAGTACCAATATCCATTCCTTCCCTTGAACTCATTTAATCTGATTTATATGATATCGAATCTTCTGTCGTTCAAAATTTGGTTTAAAGGATAGGATTCAAGATTTATCTCAATAAATTGCACACACATTTAAGACTTAGAAAATTTAAGCACAAAGACTTATCCGGATTAGATATCCGGACAAAAAGATTGTCAAAAATTCTAATCAACACAGGTCAACAAAGACAAATAAGCTCGCTCAAACACAATAAATCCGGATGAGTAATCTGGTGAATTCAAAGTTTAGCCAAAATTTGCACAATTAACAAAATTGAATACGGACGTAAAAAGTCAACAAGTCAAGTCAAACAAGTCAACAATTCAATATACGATCAAATCCGCTCAATTATAAAAACAATTCAATCCGCTCAAAAAGTCAAAAGAATTTAATCCGCTTGACAATAAAAGTCAAAATCCGCTCAGATAGTCAAAATCAACAATCCGCACACTTATGAGTCAAAGTCAATACGATTAAGATTTAAATCGCACAATAAACCAAACGGATAGACTAAATCGCTTACTAAATCGCACACGGTTATGATCGAATTATCACTTAATCGGACACAACTTCAGACGGTTTAACACCATATCGCTCAAGTGTTACCCGGTTTATCACTAAATTGCACAATCAAATTCACACAAAATTACATGTCTTAAAGCGCACACAACTATACCCCGTTTAACCTAAATCGATCAAAGAGTTATACGATTGAAATTCAAGAACAAACACAATTTTTAACAATTTTCACCAAAGATTTGGATCAAAACATGAAAAAATTATGAGTTTTTGAAGAACATTAACTTTTTCGTAAACTCAAAAATCACTCAAAATCGATTCAAAACTTGATTAAAACACAAAATGATGTGAATCAAATATATTCAGATTGAAAATACGAATCTAGTAGTGCAAAATTTTAACAATTAACACTAATAATTGATGTGATTGGAGCAGAAAATGTGCATTCCGATCAAGAAAATTCAAGAACAGGCGATTAAAATCCACCAAATCCGTGCAAAATTCCTCGAAAATTTTGTAAATCCTCTATCAAATTGTTGCAATCTGAGTTCTGATACCAATTGATGTTCCCAAAATCATACAAATTAGATTAATCATCCAAGAACACAATCAAGATGAGTAGATGTTACCTCGGTTGTCTCATGTTGATGAGAATATAATCCAATGAAATGAGATGGTGTGTATATCGAGGGAGAAGGCGATGTCTTTCAAAATTAAAAAGGTTTGTGACAATTTACAACGTTCCTTTTTGGCTGATCTCATTTTTTCTAGCAACTTTAAAAATAATTAATTAAAAATTGGCATATTCTATGATCAATGATATGCTAAAAGAATAACCAAAGATAATTAAGATTTTGAATAATGGTGTTAGTTGTAATTTTTATGTGCAATCTATTTCATAATCTATTAATAATTAAGTCACAAAACAAGCATTATAAGCTAAAATGCAAAATTGGAAAAACTAATTTTGTGTACGCTTATAATAACAGTTAATATTGCAAATTTGTTTGCAACTAACCATTTTGAACAATTTTTAATGTCAAAACATTATTTTTACATCAAAAAAATAAGAAAATGTATGAAATTATTTTTGTTACAAAAAACAATATCAATGAAAATATATAATTTACAGTTAAATAACCTTAAACATGAGAATTATAGTAATGAAAAACCATGGCTGAAATCAAAGCCAATCAGATGACGAAACCAATTAGTAATTCTTAACTTTATCTTTATATCTTTATATATCTTCGAGTAAAACTTACAATGAATGATGTAATATCCTAAGGAGAGAGTATTTTTCATTTCTTGAATTATGGTTGAGTTGTGTATATTCACATTGATGGAGATACGAACGATTTATAATCAATGGTGGGTATAAGAAGGGAGGTCGAGATATCTTTGTGGAAACTCATGGGGTTAGCTCCTATTAACCGATCCTCTAAATTCACGTTGTTGCCTCATTTTGCCGACCCTCCGAGTTCATGGGGTTGACTCATTTTGGCCAACCCTCTTTTAGCAAAAAAAAAAAATGTTAACTATTCAAAAAAAAAACTTTATTAGATTTAAGTATTTTAAAATCTTGAAGTATGTTGTGATTTTGGTTATCTTTTGCCAACTTCCGTTTACGATTTCTTTTTGTTAAATCGACATATGAAATGATATTAAGATATTTAAGTATTTTTTTTTAATTGTGGTATGATTTTTGTTATCTTACAAGTATGAGAAGATGATTGAATGTACAATATATATGATATATTAAAATAGTGTTAAATTTTACCGATAAACATTTACCAAATAAATGTTTCGTAAACATCCCCTTAGTCTACTACATAAATTCTAAACAAACCACAAGCACTAAGAGTGTAATTCACTCTCTTCTTTTTATCCTTTTCTTATTTTTGGCAAGTAAAGGGGTAATAATGTAATTCAAAAAAGGGCTTTAAAACATTACTACTCTGTTCCTACAAGAAAGGATAAGCAAAAACCAACAAACCCTTAATTATCGTTTTTGTTTCTCTCTCTCTCTCTCTTTCTCTTCCTTCTGTCGGTCCATCCTCCCAAAAATGGTGAAGGACAGAGATGCAATCCAGAACCCAAACCCTAAGAAGATGTTCATTGGAATCGTATGGAATTGTGCTCCTGAACTCAAGCTTCTCTTGTCTTCCATTCTTTTCCTTTGTTCCCTCTTCACCCTCTTCCAGTTCTTCCCTTCTCATCTCTCCTTCTCCATCCAAGATCTCCGCCACTGCGCCGCCCTCCCTCAACCACCACCACCACCACCACCAACCCACATTAACCAGCAGGATGTTGTTCTCAACAATGGTGTCATTAAAAGAAATTTCAACACCTATGGCACCGCCGCTTACAACTTCATACTCATGTCTGCTTACAGAGGTGGACTCAACACCTTCGCCGTCGTTGGTCTCTCCTCCAAACCCCTTCACGTCTTCTCCAAACCCACATACATCTGTCAATGGCTTCCCCAGAACATCACCGTTGCCGGAAACAAGATCCTCCCTGACTGGGGCTACGGCCGTGTTTACACCGTCGTCGTTGTCAACTGTACCTTCCCTTTCCCTGTAGGTGACGACGGATCCGGTGGACGGTTACTTCTCCATGCCTCCACTTCCGGCGGTGGAGACGCCAACTTCAACCTCACCGACACCATTGAAGCTCTGACAGAAACCCCAGAAAGCTTAAACCTTTTGCAATTTACAGCGCCTCCGAAATACGACTATCTTTACTGCGGTTCGTCGTTGTACGGTAACCTGAGTCCACAGAGGATTCGTGAATGGGTAGCTTACCACGTGAAAATGTTCGGAGAGAAGTCGCATTTCGTCATACACGACGCCGGCGGGATACATCCGGAAGTAATGGAGGTTTTACGGCCATGGATGGAAAAGGGTTACGTGACGGTGCAGAACATACGGGAACAAGAAAGGTTTGATGGGTATTATCATAATCAGTTTCTGATTGTGAATGATTGTTTGCATAGATACAGATTCATGGCGAAATGGATGTTCTTTTTTGATGTGGATGAGTTTATCTTTGTGCCAAAGAAAAGCACCATTAAAACGGTTATGGATTCATTGACGAATTACACCCAGTTCACCATTGAACAAAGAACCATGTCTAACAAGCTCTGTTATCTTGATGATCATGTGGGCAAAATCTACAGGTATGTACTTGACCATTTTCTTTCTGGGATTACACTTTTGAGTTCAAAGATTCAGTCATTTGAGAACTTTCAGATTCTTAAAATGTTGACCTTTGTTCTTGATCGTTGTCAAATCAAATATTCGTTTGCCATGTGAAATGGAATAATTGGTTGTCCATTTGCCTAGGAGTCGTAGATCTAAAATTTGGCAAAAATACAATTGTTTAATCTTTTTAGGATCGTGTGAGAAGGAGAGTCAAGTCAAGCCGTTGATATTTTTTATCTCAAATCTACTCATGAATTGCCTTTAATAAGGCATGGTTCCATGCATCTCATCCTAACGGGCATTCAAGAATGTAGATCTCTTCTAACCCAGCCCTCTTTTGTGTGGCCAAATTTGGGTGTTGAAGCCTTTGGGATAACTTGATGGAAATTTGGGATTTTGTTTTCATTTTCAGCACTTTGTGATCTGTTTCTTGAAGAAAATTCTATTTCCCATCACAACGTTTGGTGATGAATAGTGTAATTTAATTATGGTATTGAAGAGGATGGATGTGTGGTTGGCTTATGCTCATATCATATGGTGTTTTTAGGATCCTTTTTTTTTGGGGCGGGTGTTCTATACGTTTCTGACTTGTCTTTTTCTTTCAATTCATCTCCTTTTGAAATGATCTTTTGGCCACATTTATTGAAGGTATGGGACAAGGTGGGGTCTTTATGAAACGGTTTCGTTAGGGACACCTAAAATTGATTATAAATTCGGTAATCGTTCACTACAAGACAGGTGGCATATTGGCATATTCATTAGGAGTTTGGACGTGTTATTCATCATACATGTTGTAACATATATATCATGCATGTTTTCTTCGTAATGAATAACACGTCCCTATTCATAGTTGGGTTGCTGTGTGTGTTCTACAAGTTTCTAACTTGTCTTTTTCTTTCAATCCATCTCCTTTTGAAATGACTTTTTGGCCACATTTGTTAATGCTAGTGAGTTTGGCTATTGAAGATATGGGGCAAGTTGGGAACTTTATGAAACGGTTTCGTTAGGGACCTAAAATTGATTATAAATTTGGGACACAACACGACACGTTGCATATTCATTAGGAGTTTGGGCGTGTTGAATGTGTTGTAAATGATGAATAGCACTTCCCTATTCATTACAAATGTGTTATTCATGGTGAATATTCATTCTGAAGAAGGACACGTGGTATGCTGTAGACGGTTCTTGGGTTTTTAATCAATTTTGTGTTCCGAACGGAACTTTCATCTAAAACCCTGCTCTGTTCTTTGAGGTAGATGACATGTTTGCTTATATTCCAATTATAAGACCCTGCAACCGGATATACTGGAATAGTTTGGTTTAGCTTAATATGGGAAGTTTGTTTTTGGACAGGAAATGGGGGATTGAGAAGTTGGTATACAGAGATAGTGTTAAAGGGATCAGGAGAGATCGGAAATACGCGATACAACCGAGGAACGTTTTTGCAACGGGGGTACATATGTCGGAGAATTTGTTGGGGAAGACGACACATGACACAGAAGGGAAGATAATGTACTATCATTACCATGGGACTATATCCGAGCGAAGGGAACCATGTAGACAGCTGGTTAACACGACCAGTATGAAAGTTGGGGGAACGCCGTATGAGGTCGACAAGACGATGCGGGAGGTGGCCGGAGCGGTGAAGCGATTCGAACTACGAATGATTGGATCTGTTTTGATAAGAACCAAACAATGACACATTAATTTCTATCTTTTGATTTTATTATGTATAGATAGATAGATGGAATGAAGTTATAGAGGGTTTTGGTATTTGATAGATAGATGGAATGAAGTTAAGATGTACTTGTACTCAAATATATTTACTTCTACTTTAGTTTTGGTTTTTCCAAAATATTTAATAAAATTAATGTTGCTTTTTGGTTTTTGCATAATAAGCTTAATTCAATTTTATGAAATAGTTTAAAAAAATTTATACTTCTATATTATATTATAAAACATTTGATAAAAATTCTATTAAAAATGATTTTTATATATAAAATATTGTTTATTGATGCATATTACTTAAAATTTAAGATTACAAGTAAATTATGTATAAGTACAACTTATTAAAGCTATATGCTTGAATTTGTGTAATTAATTATAGATAAACATAATTAAATATTTGATAAATATTTTATTTAAATATAAAAAATCTAAAATATAATTAGAATAATTATTGTATTTTAACAAAATAGTTAATTATTATATTTGTAAAAAATATATTATTAAATCAAAAATAAATTATAACGTTATTAAACTTAAATTAAATTATAATAAAAAAATGAATTAAAGAAATTATATAACAAAACAAGAACTTTTAAATAGTTAATTTGACACTAATATCTATATTTTTTTCTTCAAAATTCTAAGATATCTTCAAATTTATATTTTATTTAAAAATAAAACATTATCGTTTTTCACAAAACCACATAAACCGTATTATACCATCGACAGGACACAGAATAAAACGAAACATTAAAATCGAAATATGTCTTGTTGCATCGCGTAAGTATCATTTTAATTATATTATAAAGCATTTTGGGTAAAGTCTTAAAACTAATTTTTTATACATCAACTACCACTTATTAATGCATACTACTTAAATTTAAAATCATAAGTTGATTAAGGATGTGTTTATTTGCGACTTAATGAGCTTAATGGTGAGATTGGCTTATTCGCACAGCTCTTTTAGGCTGTTTACTTGTGATTTATTCTCATAGAAGGTGACTTAATCGCACAAATATATATGTTGTGTTGTCCCCATTCAAAAAAAAAAAAAAAAAGACAACCTTGCCTCTTTGAGAGACTCCTCCTTCCAGATTCAGAATCGCCTCCTTCATCTCCATATCCAAACTTCATCACCATCTCCAAATTTCATCTCCATCATCACCATCTTCATCTTCACCATCAATCTCGACCTTCAAAACCTCCTTTCCTTGATTTTGTTCAAAACCCCTGCACATTGATTTCTTGACATCTTCTTTCCGGTGATGATTTCTTAGATCGGTTTCATTTCCATGGATTTTTCCGGATGTTGTTCGATTTCATTTCTAGTGACAAATTCCATGCAACATCATCTAGATCGATTTCTTTTCAAAGGTGACGATTTCTTGCTCATCTTTTTCATTGCTGATCGATTTCTTAGATCGATTTCTTCCCAGTGACAATCTCTTGCTCATTTTCTACACCGATGGACGATTTCCATGGATTTTCGTCTTCTTTGATTTTAGTTGGACGATTTCCATGGATTTTTGTCATCTTCTTCGATTTTAGGGTACAACCTCCGGATTATTATGTTTCGATTTTAGGGTATAACCTCCTGATTTTCAATCGTCTTCTTCGATTTCCATGGATTTTCTTCCTCTTGTTCTCAGCCTCCAGNAATCGTCTTCTTCGATTTCCATGGATTTTCTTCCTCTTGTTCTCAGCCTCCAGATTATTATGTTTCGATTTTAGGGTATAACCTCCTGATTTTCAGTCGTCTTCTTTGATTTTCATGGATTTTCGTCACTCTTGTTTGAACTTGTTCTCAGCCTCCAGATTATTATGTTTTGATGTTGAAAATAGTTTGATGAATGGTAGTTTTTTGGTTTGATGATCAATAGTTTTTTGGTTTGATTAACAATAGTTTTTTGGGTTGATTTTGATTGAACTGGTGTAAACAAAAATTGGTTTAAACATGTTCAAAAAAAGGTAAACAACACTACATTTTTAGGGGTAGATCGGTTATTTATGTCATTCAGACTGTTGATTCAGGTAAAAAAATAAACAACACTTTTTTACCCAGACAGATAAATTTATCCAGAATAACAAATTTATCCATACAAAATTTAATAGAAATTTTTTGGTAAACAACCCCTAAGTATATATTATTAAAACTCCGTGTTAAATTCGTATAACTAAATACTGATAAATGTAATCATTATTAAATAAACATTACAAGATAAAAAATTTATTTCTATTAAAATATATTATCCATTTATTTTTAAATATAGTTAAATAGCTTTTAGTTTGAAACTCTCTCTTGGTCATAGAGATTCTCTCTCTAATGAAGGTTATTTAAGTCTTTTACAATTATCAAGAGCGGAGTTTTTTAGAAAGGAAAATCACCAAAACGATTAAAATATACCTGATGTATTAAAGAAAATTACCAAATAATACAAAAAAAAAAAAATTTGGTAGGGCTTACATGTATCTACTTTAAGAAACCAAACATTGTTTGTCTCGATAATGGGGATCGCCCCCCACCTCACCGGATCTACCCCCGGGGGCGATCCATGCATCTTTTTACCACTATTTTGTTTTTTAGTGTATATCGATTAGAGGGTGTTTTTAATAAATAAGAGACGATTTAAACTGTTTTTTTTAACCTTTTTAGAACCAAATGTCATGGTTTTAGTTTATAAAATAAAACATTTTTACTCTCACCGCCCGTAAACACAATCTACCGTAACAACCCTTAAAAAAATATGATTGTACGTGAAAATTTCTAAATTTTACCACTTTAAAAAAAACATAAATTAACCAACGAATGTTGTTATATTTTCTTATAAGAAATATAATTTTTTCGTCTCCACAATTATTATAGAATATCAACATTTCTTATAAGAAAATATAACAACATTCGTTGGTTAATTTATACTTTTTTTAAAAAAAGTGGTAAACATAGAAAAAATCTTCACGTACAATCGTATTTTTTTAAAGGTTGTCACGGTAGATTGTGTATATGGGTTGTGAGAGTATAAGTGTTTTATTTTATAAACTAAAACCATGACATTTGGTCCTAAAACGGTAAAAAAACAATTTAAATCGTCTCATATATATTAAAAACGCCCCTTAATCGATATACAAAATAGTGAGAAAAATGTCTTAGTTTATCTATTTTATTTGCCATATATAAATATTATATAATTAAAAAAATAATTTTTAAGTGTTTTCTTATTAAATGTTTAAATAAAAAAGTAAAAAAAGCTGAAAATGTACGAACAATTATTAACTAGTATGTATTTAATAAATAAGACCAACTTAATTTGTTGTGCTTTAAAGCGGTAAATTAAACTTTTATTTTTAATAAAAAAATATTTTTAAGACTAAAGTAGACTATATCGTCTCCAATCGAAAGAGAGAAAGATAACATTTGTCTTAAATTTTAACATTTAAATTATTATTATTAAATGTTGTTTGTTTATTTTTTAATAGTTCTATTAATAGGTAACACTTGAATCATTAAGAAGTGAATTTTGTTTGACAAAAAAAAAATATGTCTCTTAATGGTTCTAAAACCCTTTGAATAATTTTGTATCGTGAGCCTCTCTTAACCATTAAGCGACATGATTTCATTGTAAACAATTACCAAACAATTATATTTTATTTTGCACTATATCATGAAAGTCTCTTAATAATTCTGACCACTTAATCATTCTGAACACTAAATCATTCTACACCAAACCATTCAGCAACTGTCAAACAACCCCTTAATCATAATACACTAATAACGTTCAACTAGTTAATGCTAAATTATAACATTTTTATATATTTATTATTTATCATTTAACTATACCCATTTTTAGTGTATATTAATTTATTTAAGTCAGGGACAAACCCAGGTGGTGGTTGTGGTAGCACGGGCCACCATATTGTCCGTCCATCGTAAGTAAAAAAAATATGAGTTAATGAAATGTGCAACCGTATTATTTAGAGGATGCAACCATTTTATATAATATCATCATATGCAAAGATTTTTGAGTCCGTTCCTGAAATAAGTTAGTTAAATTTATATTTTTATATCTTATTTAACCATAATATTTTTTTTGTATTAATTTGTAGTAGTAAATTACTTAAAGCTTATACTTTTATACTTTATTATCTAATATATTGTTGGTTATTTCGTTTTAAACTTA